GAACATTGTTGCTTGTCCCTATGGATGAATGCTATTTGGCTAAGTATGGACCAACACACCTCTTGAGACAGCTCTTCTAGAGGGAAGACATAGGAGGATTCCATCATCTTTACAACTGTGTCCTTGCGAGTAGTCACCAAAATCCTACTTCCAGGAGCTCCATGTTTAAAAGCCTTTTTCAGTGAATCCCAACTATTACCGTCCTCTGTCCACACATCATCTAAAACCATAAAGAATTTCTTTCCTTCTAAGGAATCACAAATTCTTTCTAAGAGGCTCCGAAATGGTAGTGAGTTTAAGAGAAACACCGAAGCATGAGCCTGACCTTCAAGCTCAATGATGATTGCTCTTGCAACTCTGGCCTCATCAAAGAGATCAGAGATACACACCCAAACCCTCTTGTCAAAGTGTGACTTAATTTGATCATCATTGTAGAGGATTTGTGCAAGAGCTGTCTTGCCAATACCTCCCATCCCTACTATAGAGATGGTCCGGAGGTGGAGGTCACTAGACTCTTCACTGCTTCCACATAGCAAGTGGCTAATTATCCTTTTCTTTACCTCATCTCGTCCATGGATGACAGAACCATCAACGAAAGATGTGGTTTCTCTTTTTGGTTGAATTTGAGGCTGTGTAACTTCCCTCGATACAAAACTATACCTATCTTTCTGTTCAGCAATATCACCTAATCTTCTATTGATTTTTTTAATTTGAACAGCAACACCATGGAGCTTAACAACTTGTCGAAGGCAAAAACAAGAGATAAAATGACACACCTTTTTCTGGAGGACAGACACAGTATTTTGAGCCTCGTTCATTTTCCATTTCAAAAGTGCAGTATTCCACTCATCCAATACGTCTTCCATGTCAAGAGATGCTTCTTTGAGCTGACGTAACCAAAGTTTGATATTTTTGTCCCTCTGCCCCCTTTCCTCTGCATCAACAAGGAGAGCACGGATAGACTCGAGATTGCTTCTCACCTTGTCAATTTCCTCCGGTGCACCCTTTATTAGTCTCACCTTTGGCCTTGCTTCCTCCAAGATGACTGTTGTTAGCTGCTCCAAGACTGCAGAAACAGAAACAACTGCATCCGCCATTTTGCTAGAGAATTGCGTTAACTTCCGTCCCCGGCTATTTTGTTTTTCAACTCTGTGATTAATTTTGTTTTGTTTGTGAATTTTACTCAGGTACTTCTTTTCTTTTTCCTTTTTTATTTTTTAGAGTTTACCTTACATATATCTTAAAAAGTATAAATTAAAATATTTTTAATTAATTTTACATAAAATTTTATATTAGATTTATAATTTCTTTACAGGTTTTAAAATAAAATATTTTATTTTATTTTTATATTTTATATTATATTTTATTTAAATTTTATATAAAAATTTATATAAAATTAATTATAAATACTGTAACCTAACTGTACAAGGTTAAAATATCTTCTTCTCTTTTTTTGTTTTTTTTTAGGTCGTGAAATTGGTACTTCTTTTGTATGGGATGCCGATAAGATTCCATTTCAAATCGTCCGCACATTATGAATGATAATGATCTTCGGAAATATCTTGTCTTTATTATGGTCCCACGACTTTGAAGAACATGCCATTTATATTTGCAAGACTCTATCTTAAGCCCCTAGAGTTATTTCAAATTAACACTTGAGCCCTTGAACTTATAAAAACAATGCAAATAAACCTCAAACCTCTCAAATGATATGAATTTGCCCTCAATCCCCTTGAAAGATGCAAATCAACCCTCATCATTAATAGCCTAATGCATGTGATCTCAGGCTATCCGTTCTTTTCTTTCACTTTATCCCTTTTTCCACATCGATCAGAAGACCCCTTATATGATAAAAATCCTGTCAAAATTTTTTATGTTGCTTAAGGACACTAAATAAAAAAAAGGGATCATAAGAGCCATTTTGGCAAGATTTTACTGTCTAAGAACTTCTTTGATTCACGTCAACCCATGTGAATATGTGGAAGTAAAAAAGGAAAAGCACAAACTGCATGAGGTCACATGCATTGGGCCATTTGTATCATTTGAGAGGTTTGAGGGTTGATTTGTATCTTTCGAGAGGTTTGAGAGCTAATTTACATCATTCAAAGAGTTTGAGGGCTTATTTACACTATTTTTAGTTTAAAAGCTAATGTGTTAGTTGGGGTAAGCCTAGAGACTTAAGAGGGGATTTTGCCTTTACATTTTTTCCAAAAGAAGTGTTGTAGTGAATGGCGTCACTTGGCTACTTGAACCTTTAAATTTAGAATATACTTGGTTTAAGAAGAATAGAAATCAAATGTTAATTTTAGAACATGCTTGGTTTTAGAGAAATAAAAAAAGCACATATGAAAGTTTCTTTCAAATTTGGATTAGAAAAAGGTTAACAACTAAACTAAACAAGGATTTCTAAGAGATGACGTCTGCTTCAGAATTATACCACTAAGAAGAACGTAGTTGAGTTGTCATCCTTGAAAAGGAAAAATAGAGGCCGAAGCCCACGGGAATACAGACAGTCGGACAGGCCACATAGGCTTTTGCTCTGTAGTAACTAGTAAGCCCATGTAAAACATGTAGTTAACCCATCAAACTATTCTATGGGCTGGTAGGTTCAGGCTGTGGTAGACTCAAAGCATAAGAGCAGAACACGAAACTTCCATCATTTTACCACCTAATTGTAGTCATCATAATTGAAAAAGGTGGCAGAATCAAGAAATAGTAAAAGTTTTAATTTCTAACCATTACTCGAAATCTAAATTTGGTGGAAGAAAATAACTTTATTTATTTACATACAGAATCGCTTGTTATGCAATTAAAATCACATTGATTGTGAAATAGAAATTATTAAATGTAATATAAATTTTAATGTTAAAAGATTCACTTCATTTAATAATTTAAATTTTAGTTTTTTACTGCACATCACAATTTTATTATATAAATAACGCAATTTCCACATGAAACATAAATATTTATATTAACTACTGAAAAATCAATGCATATAGGTTCGTATATCTATGCAAAAAAACAAAAGAATTATAAAACAAAAAAATGCAAAGTGCAAAATAACAATCAAAACAATCAAATGTCCGCCGTCACGATCAGAAGAAACCGATTTTGCACTTGGCTGTCTCCGCACCACCAGCCAACATCCCATCAGAGCTGCTTAATGGGACTTTCAAATCACACTCAATCTTGGGCTTAAACCTCCACGTCTTCAATATCCCCAGCTAGAACCTAACCCTCAAATTCAATTTCACATCAATACTGTAAATCCCAGAATTCTTCTCCTGATTGTACTCGGAAACTCTATCGGCGCCGAGTAACACCAGTTTCTGTCCTTGAAACGAGGGGTTCAAGTAACTGGTATTCTTGTGCCCCTGATAGAACGGCGTCAGCTGTTGGGTAGCGAACCGTTGGTCCTCGTAGTACGTGTTGGCCTCGATGCGGTCGTAGTAGATGCCGATTTTCTTGTTGGGGTTGCGCACGGTGATGTTGAGGGCCAGGTTGTCGTGGAGGTTGTTGTCGGGGGTGAGGTTGAATTGGGTAAGGGAGGCATCCGTCACGTGAAAACTTAACTACGTTGGGACGGAATATGAGGGCAGCCAGACCCAAGATGATGACAGCGGTGACTAAGGGCGGCAAAAATTCACCTGAACCCGTTGATTCGACCTTAACTTAACCTGTAAAAAATAAATTAGGGTTTACATATTTTAATTTGTAACTTGTAGATAACATGTAATATTAACTTGTACGGATCATGGGTCAAGTTAAGGTAACTCGTAAGTTGATGGGTTAATCCGTGGGTTGATGAATTAACTTATTTGTTTTATTTATTATTATTATTTTTAAAAATATTATACTTATTATTCTTAATTAATTTTCTAATTAGTAATTTTTTTCATTAATTCTTACTCTTCAACCCTATTTTCATTATTCAAATGATTTTGAATTTATTTTGAGTGTTTACTCATTATAATTTCTTCTTTTTTCATAAATTATGTGGGTTTGATCTAATTACTAAGTATCATGAATTAAATGATAATGTAATTAAAAATATTAAAGATATGATACTATGATATAAATATAATAATTTAGTGAAAGATATTCTTAGAAAAACAATTTCATCATAAAAAAAATGACTTAAACTTCTCGATAATATTTCAAAATAATTGTAAAATTAAAATTTATATTTCAAAAAATTTAAATTTTTTAAGTTT